TCAAGATTGCGCCGCAGTCTCGGAGAAGTTACGGGAAACGAGTTGCGTTCTGTAAATAAAACCCAACGGGGACTTGTTCCAGAGCTCTTGGCGGGATTCTTTGGTACACTATAAAAATTGTTTTACTTTGAAAGTGTATGCTGATTTGAGTCATTCGTTTCGCTGTAATTATGCCGTTGGCCGCCTGCGGTGCTGATTCAGCTTGCTGCGACCACTTCTGCCGTGCTGGTGTAAAAGTAGAGAGCAAAATTTCAGCCATTGTCAGCTTGATTGTTGTAAATGCGCTGCTTGTAATTGATCCACCGTAAAGACATTCTATTTTGCAACATTTCACCTGTTTTTTGTTATAATGATACTAGTCCTTTTCTCGGCTGCTTTTCTCCAAAGCTACATATCAGTGACTTGCCAAAAACCAAATGTTCTTGTTTGGTTAGGGGTGGCCTTTTACAGGGAGAATGGTCGCTATTTTTCTCTGAAGTTTCTCTTAGTTAACACTAATATACGTTAAAAAATTAATAAACTAACTAGCCGCCTCCCTGATGCAATTCTGGAGTCTATTTATTTCATCTCCTCCATCATTTATGTAAGCCTTTAACTGTTATCCTCCAAGACAATATTATCATCGCACTGCCCGGAAAGTGGCATGAATCCGAGCATCTCCAGAGCTCGGATCCTTTCTACAAACTAAAACAGTATAGTCTATTGACGTCGGAGCACTTCTTCAAGTGGACACCGATTTGTCTTCATTGATGTTTATCGTGGCTCGGCGTTGGACTAGAGATATCAGCTCCACACAATTCATCACCGGTTATCTGAGCCAGCTCCAGCAACAGCGGTATCGAGATGATGAAAAATGTGGAACACGCCCGTCTGCAGCACTCGGACTCTGCTACTTCACTGCACACTGCAGACTGCAGACTGTAGATTCGCCAGCAAAGACCCAGCACTGGCAGATAGCGTGCTCAGAGCGGCAGCGCTCTGATTTGTCAGCCCACTCGGTGTTGTGCCGGTGTGGGTGATGAGTGACTGAATTTGTAATCATGTTGTCCTCGTTGGAGCGGCGGCGGCGACTGACTGCCTCGGGCCATCTCGACTGCTGGTTGTGGCGGCGAGGTTCCCCTCTGCGTCGAGCTGGTGTCAGTCGCTAGTGCGTCTCTCCATCTATCCTTCAGCTGCGGTCTCAGATTGTGGATCTGAGGTAATCGATCTGCTGGGTGTTCCCGTTCACCGTCGCGCCTAATTGATTCCATTGGTGGACGCATGCTTCAATTTCACTGACATTTGGCTAATTGACAACTGTATTCATCGTGAGGTCGCTCAGGAGGGATGCTCCGGCATTGAGCAGCTGCCGATGTGTGACCAGTATGATGCGGGCTTAGCTGTATCTCGTTTGATGTAGAAATATAAGATTACTCTCCAGTGGTAGGTCGTATGCTGCTGTTTGTAAATGGGTGTATGGACGACTGTCGACGCTGGGCTGTTTGACGTTGAGCCCCCGGACGCTAAGGCATAGCCTGCCGGCCCGTTGAGCCTGAAAGTGCAAAATAGCTAATAACCTGCTCATTTGACCCTAAACTTTTAACTACGTTTGTAAAAAGTTTGTGTAATGAATATTGTATGGATGATTCCTGATGTTTCGTGTTCTTAGATCTTGCGTGGGCCGGAATCATGAAAACGCGCGTAACTCACCCACACTGAAGGTCTGATTCCTAGACCCCTTTTAGAGCGTGTTAATATCCAACGTCAACATGCCAAACTTTCCGTCCAAATTAGTAGGCACGACCTTTGTAGGTTATGCGATCCGTTGTTAGGCTGCCGTAAATCAACTCCATCGCGCGCTCTTAGCAACTAACACCTTACTGAACCATTCAACTGTCCCGTAGCTCAGTTGGTAGAGTGTTGGACTCCGCGTGGTGAGAGCACGCGTTCCCGGTTACAACAGTCCGGGTCCGAAGCGCGACGGGCGCTCGACATTTATGGGCCTCCTGACAGGTATGGTTGCGGTTGGTGGCAGGCCGTAGCCAGGCGAAGTCAGTGAGGGACCGGCCGTGCGCTGCTATGTGCGCACGTTAAACTTAGGACTCCAAATTCGGCCATAGAACCGGAATTGCGCGATCGGAGGGTAGAGGGCAGGGTCAACGCAACAAGCTTCGCTTAGAGTTTTGTCCTTGTGAATCTTTCCATTCCAAAGGCTCGGACTATTTTTTTTAACTGGAGTTGTGTATCACCATTGGTATCATCCTGCCGGTGGCAGAGCCACCCTCCTCTGCCGGTCGTCGTGGACAGTGTGGTGACCACTGACCGTGTTCGACCAGCCAACCGGACTGCTACCGCGGGCGGGCGGCTGGTCGACCAAATCGTGCTGATACACTGGTGTCGTATCGTTCGGGTTTTGTAAACATTTAGGTACATTAAGATATGCAGATAAGGGTATTTGGACCACCAATATTATACTGGAATCTATTTGAAAATGCGAGTAACATCATATGACACGCTGAGATCATCCCACCGGTTACCTGCTGGGCTCAATCATCTCGTTAGGCTCGCCGTAATGGCTTGACTAGATTTATGAGTTCAGCGGTTCTCACCAAAGTTTCTGCGAATTTCGTGCAACAGCATAAACAAGTTGCCTTATGCAGCATCAGGGTTTCAGGGAAACTTTTGCTGACTGTCTGGCGTAAACTCGTGGTAGTTCCCGCCTGAACGCTGGCTGGTGATTGCTGAATGAAAGGCAACTGCTTGTTGCTTCTGGGATCGTATGTTTTTCTGTTCCTTTGTAAATTGCATCGATAAAGAATATCTAATGCTCTTCGAAGTCATGCCGTAGTGGTTGACACTGCACCGAGAGTTCATTTTCTGCATTGGTTACTACCCGACTTGTTGCTTTTTCTGACCTCTTGCTTTACTTGGTAAGACAAATTTATTTCAGAGGATTATAATTTATAATACATGTATGTATCCCTCTCTCTCTCCCTCCCTCTCTCTCCTCTCTCTCTCTCACTCTCACTCTCACTCTCACTCTCACTCTCACTCTCACTCTCACTCTCACTCTCACTCTCACTCTCACTCTCACTCTCACTCTCACTCTCACTCTCACTCTCACTCTCACTCTCACTCTCTCTCTCTCTCTCTCTCTCTCTCTCTCTCTCTCTCTCTCTCTCTCTCTCTCTCTCTCTCTCTCTCTCTCTCTCTCTCTCTCTCTCTCGGCTTAGATCGATTGTGGCGAAGACGTCTCTTGGCTGTTTGTTTCTGGAAGTCCTTGCGGTTTTCGTCTCCCACCGCATTGTCCCGGAGGTGCTCTGTCGTCCCGAAACCCGCGCAGCTCTGCTGAGTGCGTCCTACCATGGTAAATTGGCGCTGTGCCAAACCTAGATCGGATTGGAGGGCAGATGGTGCCTCCCCTCCCATCGGTTGAAATTCTCGTTTGAAATCTATCATACTGGCTTTCAGGTCTGAACGGCTGAGGTCCAGCGCTCAGTCCGCACACGTGCTGGGGCGATCGGTCTCACTTTGTCCAATCTCGGTCCGGAGTGTGTCGGGACGCGTGCTGCGTGGCCTCCCGGCTCCCATTCCACGCGCCAGACTCACACGGTCACTCTGCGCTTAATGCCGCAGCCGCTGTGAGCCCTACATTCCAGCCAATCCGCTCTCATCAGAACATTCAGTTCATTTCAGTCTTTTCGTGTACGTGACTTGAAGCCTTTTGTTGTGACCAGCTCACTCGACATTTGGCGTGAAAAGGCCATGCAGCTGTGGCGCCAGACTCACACGGTCACTCTGCGCTTAATGCCGCAGCCGCTGTGAGCCCTACATTCCAGCCAATCCGCTCTCATCAGAACATTCAGTTTTTTGTTTTGTTTTGTTGGGTTAGGCCCTTTCGGTCGACAAGACCATTGCAGAGCCGGAAGGATGATAGGAATTAGGGGGAGACATTGGTCTGGGCAGGCACCCTAGAGAGTCGCCGGGGCTGAGCCCGTCCAATGGACAGGCCGACCAGCCCCCCAAGCACTCTCTGCACCCGGCTACGGGGTGCAGCTCCCTCGGGAGCAGCGGTGCCGCTCCAAGGTAGCAGCCCGCATGAGATAAAGTTGCCTGTCCAGCCCGGAAGGGGGTTGCGGCGTGGAGGAGAAGGATTTCTGTATCCTGAGGATAGAAGCACGGATAGGACAGAACATTCAGTTCATTTCAGTCTTTTCGTGTACGTGACTTGAAGCCTTTTGTTGTGACCAGCTCACTCGACATTTGGCGTGAAAAGGCCATGCAGCTGTGGCACGATGTCGGTCGTTAAGTATCCTGTCCGTGTTTGTATGGTCCGCCCACCATTACCGCATTAGCTGAGCAGCTGCTGCGGGCCGGCGGCCGGGGGCGGCCCACCCCGAACACCGGACCGGTGCCGGTCCGTCGCCGGTCCGCGCCGAGTAGTGGCATTTGCCGCCTCAAGTGGCGGCGCGGCGGCGCTGGCCATTACGGCTCTATTGTCAGCCGGCGGCCCGGTGCACCGGCCGGGCATACCGAGTGGCCCCGACCGCCACCGACCGAGCGACGCTGAGTGACGCTCTCGGGCGGGAGGGGTGGCTGGTGGCCGCTGCTGCCACCGGTGCCGCTTATCGGGCGGTAATGCAGGCTGTGTGCTGCGAAAGAACCGGGGAAAGGGGCTGAGAAAATGCCATGTACTGTGGATATTACCGCGTGTATCGCGAGTGTTTCCATCATGACCTGGCTGGTGCGCAGATTTCGCCATCGACGTTGTATTGATAGCGCATTGTCGGTGGTTTATTGCTGGATTATTTTAGAAACTTCCTTGAAAGTTTGTAAGTGAAATTGTACAAGTGAGGGAAAGAGCGTCGCTATTACTAAATATTTTAAATTTCTTGGTGCTGAATTAAATAGAGGAGCGGTAAGAACTCTGCAGACGGCACCTGTGTGTACTGTTGGTCGTTCCTCCGCTCATGGCCATTAGCGCAGTCCTCACGTGACGGTGCAACTGTGTCTGTTTGCAGGGCAGCGTTCCCGAACCGGCTGTGGGAGCGCGTCAAGCTGTCAAAGAACTTCGAGAAGGCGCTACAGCAGATCAACGAGAACCTCATCTACTGGCCGGGCTTCATACAGACCAAATGTAAACAGCGACTGGTCAAGATTCACCAGTACCTCGCGCGGATGCGCAGCCTGCGGCTCAAACGACAGTGAGTACCCGTACCAGCTTCAGCTAAAAGTTCACGTGTCATATTTTTCTGATGGTTTGTTACTTAACAATGCCAGGCAACAGCTAGCCCACGTGTACGTTTCATGGCGTGGCAGTGCCCGTCCGGCCGGACCATATGGGTGTGTTTGGTGCCGGCCGGCCGGTGGCGGCGTCGGACACAGAGGTCCGGCCCCTGAACCCGTCCTTCGGGGCTCGGTGCCCCGCTGGTGGCGGCACATAGTGCCGGTTTGAGACCCTGGTTCGGCCGGGGGAGGGGGCTCGGTGCCCCGCGGGTGGCGGCGCTGAGGGACGGTATGAGACCCCCGTCGCCCGGGGGCTCGGTGCCCCGCTGGCCACATATCAACCGGTCGATGGTCGCCTGTCATAGTGCTGGATCGATGGCACGTGGAGTGGCGGTCCGACCCGACCCGCCGCGACGGCTGCCGATCACCGCCGCGCGGCGCGCTGCCCGGTCACCGGGCGGTCACACTGCGGTCAGAGGACACCGGGCGATCCCACAGACCACGACTTCACTGGTAGCCAAACGTCACCAGTCTCCACCGCTGCCTCTGACTGCCCCTGGCCCTGGCCTGACCTCGCAGGCCTCCGCGTGCCCACCCTCCTCCCTGCAGCCCCCTCCTCCGCCGCGGACGGACCGCCCCGCGCTCCCCCCCCCCCCCCCCCGCCGCGGAGACCACAGCCGCCCACGGACAGCCGCTGTTTAGAGCGGACGCCTCCGATAACGTCAGTTGGACGGTCGGACGGCAGTGGTCCGCCGGGTGCACTAGACGCAGATAGCGAGCCGCCGTGGCGCCCCTAACGACCGCTCCCCAACATACGGCGGCGGGTGTGCGGCCATAGGTCTGTTTGTTTCTGTATGTTATTGTTACCATTGTCACATTGCCATAGCACATTGTGCAAACACCCATCACCGCTAACGACTCAAATATTGTAATAATTGGAGACAGTTGGGGCCATGTAACGGAACTAGCGCACTTGTGCTATAATGGCTGATCAGCAATCGCTACTCAAGCTTGCTGCCTTTTTCCCCGATGGCGATTTCCAGAAGTATGCGCTGCGACATATCTTTTGCGCGGCATTGCGTTTCCATCTGCAGTTTCATTTCACTCTGCCTGGTTTCCATTTATAATGGCATTAGGAACCGATGGCAGGTGTGGGTTTACTTTGGACCCAATAGCTAGTCCGTTGGCTGTGCTGTTCAGTAAAGCGTCCCAGCTCTATTGGCAACTCTGCCGTGTTTGGGGGACATTGCTATAGCGCCAGTCCTCTGCTTCCAATGCGCAGGGTGCATCTTTGCTGTAGCCCCAGATCTGTGAACAGTGTCTCAGCGGTGCTGTCTTTGTGCCGCTACCAGTGCCCGGTATTCGGATGAGACCGCAGTGATAATTCAGCCGCTACCGATGTGCGGATGTCACTGAATTATGCAGCGGCCGCTCAGTATTCGGGCGGTGGTCCGTTCCATATGGTCGGCACTCGTAATTCGTACATCATCACCGGGCCCGGATTGGTTCGCTGATCACTCTGCAGTGGCTCGGCGCCGGCCTGGCTCCTCCCGGAGCGGCTGGCGGCTCGAGATCTGCTGCTGCTGGTGAGGGGCGCCGTCGGCGGTGGTCAGCGGGCTTTCTTCCGTGAGGGGCGTTCCACGACAAATCGACAAATAAAAAATTAAATTTGCACCCTCATATTTTATTCTTCGTTGAAAACTGGTGTAAGGGGTTGTGATGGGCGGTGAAGCCAGCTGTGGCAAGGATTTTTTTCTTCGAACAACGGTTTCCGAGATATAGCCTCGGGCAATTCCTGGAGTTCGCGCTGCAGCCCTATGTTTGGCGGCCTATAACTCAGAAACTATTGGTTTTTTACGATAAAAACTTTATATGGTTCAACACACAATCAATCAACAAACATTTTGGCCATCTCAGATTTTCAATTTTTGAAAATTTTGATCACGTGACCTTTTGTCCTATTTTTCGAAGAGTGACCTTGATACTTTCCCCACTGAAAGTTGCAATTTTGTCTGATGACGATTAAAGCCTTATCAATTGTCATTCATATGCGATAATAAAAAAATTGGTTATCGCCCTGCGTTGACCTCAGGTCAGGTCATTTTTATGACCTGTCCATTATTACAAGCGGGAGCGACAGCGAGATCTCAAGAATAAAGCAAGATAGCGACAAGCGGTAAACGGTAAAGGGTACACACGGATAAGGTCTATAATTTTTACTGAGGTCATTTTCAGGTCAGGTCAAAGATGACGTCACAGGAGCTAAAAGGAAGTCAAAATAGCGGCACTATACATATATATGAAGTTTTTCTCGAATAACTTTCAAGGTATCCCAGCTAGGAACAAACTAATAGCACCATCGTGATCCTCTCGTCGATCCGCATCGAAACATATGTATGTTGACCTCGAAAGGTCGAAAGGTCAAAAGTTGACCCTAGGTCACGTGATCTAAGGTCAACTTTTGACCTTTCGATCTTTCGAGGTCAACATACATATGTTTCGATGCGGATCGACGAGAGGATCACGATGGTGCTATTAGTTTGTTCCTAAGTGGGATACCTTGAAAGTTATTCGAGAAAAACTTCATATATATGTATAGTGCCGCTATGTTGACTTCCTTTTAGCTCCTGTGACGTCATCTTTGACCTGACCTGAAAATGACCTCAGTAAAAATTATAGACCTTATCCGTGTGTACCCTTTACCGTTTACCGCTTGTCGCTATCTTGCTTTATTCTGGAGATCTCGCTGTCGCTCTCGCTCGTAATAATGGACAGGTCATAAAAATGACCTGACCTGAGGTCAACGCAGGGCGATAACCACTTTTTTATTATCGCATATGAATGACAATTGATAAGGCTTTAATCGTCATCAGACAAAATTGCAACTTTCAGTGGGGAAAATATCAAGGTCACTCTTCGAAAAATAGGACAAAAGGTCACGTGATCAAAATTTTCAAAAATTGAAAATCCGAGATAGCCAAAATGTTTGTTAGTTGATTGTGAGTTGAACCATATAAAGTTTTTATCGTAAAAAACCAATAGTTTCTGAGTTATAGGCCGCCAAACATAGGGCTGCAGCGCCATCTCCAGGAATTGCCCGAGGCTATATCTCGGAAACCGTTGTTCGAAGAAAAAAATCCTTGCCACAGCTGGCTTCTCCGCCCATCACAACCCATTAGACCAATTTTAAGCAAAAAATAAAATATGAGGGTGCAGGGCACTTGTCGATTTGTCGTGGAACGCCCCGTGAGCGGAAATGAAGCGTCTGTTTTAGAGGCTGTATGGGACTGGGGCTGCAACCGGCCGGCATCCTATTTTAATTAGAAGATATCGATCTATTTCTATTTAATGATGATGCGAATTAATGCAGACTTTTTATGTGTCCTTCCTTGCTTATGAAATGGCATTTTAGTGATGTGGAACAAAGCAATATATGATTAACCCGCGCCGTGCTGGTGGCCTGAACTTTCCGCCGAGTGCTGGGGGGGGCGTTTTCACGCCCCCCGTCTAACTCAGCTCCTGGGCCACGTAGCGACACGCGGTAAGCGGCAATCGAAAGAGCGTCAAAAATAAGGACGAAAACACTTCGGTCATTTTTTGGGTCAGGTCAAAGGTCAGGTCACCAGAGGTCACCAAAGGTAAAATGTTGACTATTTCAACATTTTGGAAACTGCCAACGGCTATCTCGGGAACCGATAGAGCTACAGCGCCGCGGAAAAGCGCATTCGATAGCCCTTTTACAGACCTTTCTGAGTAATGTTCTCAGATTTGACCTCAGGTCAACGGTTTAGCCTCCAGAGGGCAAAAACTCTAAAAATAGCCGTTTTTACGAAAAACGTTTTTTCGTCAATAACTTTTGACTCATAAGCGCCATGACATTACTTTTGCCAGCATCGTGTTCCTCTCGTCGAGACGCGTCGAATGAACTATTTGTTGACCTTGAAAGGTCATTTTGAAAATTTGACCTCAGGTCAAGGTCATGACCTGACCGAAAAGGGTCATGTTGCATATCAGTCGATCCGTATCGTCGAGCTGAACACATCTGACGTGTTTTCACCGCTCTAGCACGTCTCTATCAAAAGTTATAGCCAAAAAACTGCTGGCGACCGTTCATGACCTGAGATGACCTCAGGGGCACACAGAGGGGTCACAGGTGCATTTTTCCTATTTAGTGTGTCATGTTTACCTATGAACCGATGTTTGAGAGCGTTTTGAACGATATTCGTCCAAAAGAGGCGCATTTCAATTTTCTCCCATTGACTTATAATGGAGAGGTCGCAAAATTGTCCTGACCTTAGGTCACAGATATCAAAAATCCGAGATATACATTTTATACATACTGTTACTCATATCAATCGCTGAAAGTTTCAAAGTGATCGTTCAGTCGGTGTAGCTATAGCGAGCCTTTGAACTTTTTCTGAGGTAAGGTCACTTGACGTGACCTGGTGACCTGACCTTGAACGGCCTAGGTCTGAAATTTTCACAACATGTGCGGAAATGATGTAGGAACACGTGTACCAAAAACGGCGGCGCTGCGCGCCGCCGTTTTTGAGATATTCGCGAAAAACCTGAGGGGGGGGGGGGCGTAAAAACGCCCCCCCCCCCCAGCACGGCGCGGGTTAAGCTACAATGATGGCTTTCGCCGCCTGACATTTTACACCCTACTTCATTAGCAGTAACTTGAATAAGAAAAATGTAGATGATTTATTTGAGTGATTTATTATGAGTGGAGCAGATTTACGTCATTTCGTTAGCGATCAGGGGCTCCTTAATTACAGATGGAGCAGTCATCTGTATAGAGCCGCAATACACAGTATTGCATTGTCAAAGTATCAGGTTATGCTTGAATGGTTCATTGGCCGCCCTTTTATCCCAACCGGTCATGGCTATAATAGTGCAGAGCTCCGATAAAACTTGAAATTGTTTTGTCGAACATGACAACTTTGATATGCCGTTTGCATGTAGCTCTTGATTTTTA